ATTGAAACTATAACACTACCGGTAGTTAAAATTATGATACAAAATTGTGATCAAAACAATATTACACTGACGAAAGATTTCCACTCTATTATCGATACATGTTGCCCCCCGGTAATGGCGGCCGTGAGCGCGCCGCCTACGGCGAAGGGGTAATTCATCTGCTTCTCGAATTCGTCTATTCAGAAAATAGGAGGGGCATCAACAACCACTTTCATATGCAAACTACAAACAGTATAAAACATCGGCAATATATGCGAGATGTCCATAATAAAACTTTCTTTATATAATACCGGATTCTGCCGTAAATTCGGCCATCCAAATACACCGCAACAACAAAGGTTTATTTTCTAACACAGATCTCCAGTCAAGAGGGTGGCGTTTGGACGTAACCCCGGAGTTAAACCATAGACAATATAGTAGGAAGGACAAGCAACTCCAGCGATTCTATTGTAGCAGGGTAGGCTGAAAAAAAGTTAAGCTGATTTAAACTAATCGTTAACATAAACTAAATGTTTATTTCGATTTCTCGTTAAGGTAGAGATGCAGTTAACCTGACAGGTATTTTAATTAGTTAATTAGGCAACCAAGATGACCTTCCTTGCCCACAAAACTATATATTTTCGGAAAGCTTATTGCATGAATTTTTGTAAGAATTTTTTTTTATGAACACTGTAGTTTGAAATATGCACAAAAATGTGTATTTTTGGTCAAAAGTGATTTAAAAAAAATTAGCTTCTAAACCATGTTTCTGTTGGTTTACGGGTACATCTGTTTACTATGAAGAAAGTGCCGTCTTGAAAACTGTCTGTTTTTAGGCGGCGAGAGTCGTGAACTAACGCGAAATGCGTAATTTCGCTGACGAGAGTCGCCTACGGTATTCCATGGGTATTCTAAATGGCCGTTGCTGATCACGAGTTCCCGTGTGTAGATGATTTGCTCGATATTTTTTTATGGGATTTTGATTACAGTGGAAATGATAGTGAAGAAGATCCAAACGCAGTAGATACAGCAATTCATGTTAACAACCCTGTGTGTGTGATTCAGAGCCCGGGCATCAACATCGAAAATAGAGAAGATTTGCGTTTTCTTGATCGTCACGTAAAAGAAACCGGAAATAGTGAAAATAAAACAATAAAGACAATCGTGCCTCATTTATACACAAGTATTCAAGTTATTTTGTTGAAATTATTAATAAAATCAGGGTATAACATAGGTAGACATGCATTCAGGCTTAAAGACTGGACGTGTAGTCAAGATGGCCACAGACGTGAAAACGAAAGACGGAATGAAAGTCTATTAAAAAAAAATGCGAGACAGAGAACAACAAAAAAACAAGCGTAGTCATGAAAACAATAATATTAGTGTATTTTGTAGAATACGGGGTACAAACTTACACATGCATTTTGTTTGAACTCTGGTCTGAGGTTTGAAAGAGTGTGAATAGGTAGTCAAGATGACGACAGACATGAAAACGAACAAATTGAAAGTTAATTTCAAAAAAAGTGCAAGACAGAGCACACACACACAAAAAAAAACGAGCACAGTCGGTGGAAAATAACATAATAAGAAGATTCATGCATCATGAAAACTAAAATATTCGAGTATTTTGTCGAAAATGGGGTACAACCTCAGACATGAATTCCGGTTGACAGAGTGTGAGCTATTGTCAAGATGGTGACAGATGGGAGAACATACGGATTCAAAGTCTGTTTGAAAAAAAAATGCGTGGCAGAGAACAATAAAAAACGAGCATAGTCGGTAGACAATAACAGAATAAGAAGATTCATGCATCATGAAAACAAAAATATTCAAATATTTTGTCGAAAACGGGTTACAAACTGAATATGGCATGTACGGAAACATTACTGCCGTCTGAAACTGATTTTTAATTTTATTCAATTAAACAGGAACATATATATTAAAAGTAATATTTACAAGTGAACCACGTTCACGAGAACATCTGATAACTATTGTGTGTTCGAAAGATGCGTATTGCGGAAAGAAAACGACTTGTAGTTCGATACGTGACATCGCATCAAAGTAAATATGACGTCATTGTTTACTTGCTCATTATAATATTCCAGCCCAGCTTGCGTTGGGCATACGGCGTTTGACTTTGGTGTTACTATACTATCTATGGTTAAACAGGGCCCAAATTGATAGGGAGTAAAACACAAAAGTGGAAGAGCTGTCCATGCATTGACCAATCACACAAGAGCTCACAAACACCAAAGAAATATTTGTTGTTGTACTTAACAAAGGGGTTTGGCACTAAAAACAATGGAACGTTTATAGGTTTAACGTTGGATTTAGATCGTGTTATAATCCAAATCCCCTAGAAAGAGTTGTAAGCACAAATTTTCATATGAAGAGACAGAAAGCATGACTGCATGTGACGACAACGACTGCATAGTGACATGGTTTCATTGTGAGTGTGCAGGATTGACAGCAAAAATTAGCCGATGCACTGTTCAGAGTCCTACGATCGTACCAATTGTCGCGATTTTCGATTATGGTCTACGCAACTGATTTAATATTTCATCGGGAAATTGTTTCTGTGTAATCTGAATATTACCATCAGTACACTAGTTTAAACAATCACCAACTATCATTGAGTTCAAAGACCAGGAGCACAAAGGGATAAGGAGCTTAACTTAGCAATAAACAATTGAATTTAATAGGCATATTTTGCGTCAGTGCTCCTTCTTTTTTTACCTCCATGGGTATATATACAGAGAATATGGATTGTGAATCTGATTGGTGGAAACAGACTTGTCATATGCTAGAAGCCTGTCTGCTAGTATGTTGAGTTTAAAGATGATAGTCTCAAAGACTGTAGTCACTGACTTTCTAATAAAAAGTGGATAGGTTTGTTGATGTTTTACTTACTTAGCATATGGAATGTCAGTTGTTAATATCATACTGTCAGTTACATATGTTGACATTGAGCACACAATAAAACAACATACTGAAAATTATTCCCATGACAACAAGATCTCTCCACTTACTATTTTATGAGTTTGACTGCAGCCACCTTTTGTAAACACCATTAATGATTTTTGGGTATGAACAAAGTTCAGTTAAAAATGATGTCAGAAAATGTTGAATGAATGTTGTAAGAAAATATTGAAAGAATTTCAAGAGAAAGATGAAAGAATGTTCAAAGAATGTCAATAGAATGTTGAAAAAATTTCGAGAGAATACTGAAAGAATGAAGAAAGTATGTTGAAAGAATATTGAGAAAATTTTGAAAGAATGTTGAAAAAATATTGAAAAAATGTTGAGCGAATGTTAAGAACATTAAAAAATGTCAAGAGAAAGTTGAAATAATGTAGAAAAATCTAGAATGTTGCGAAAATAATAAAAGAATGTTGAAAGACTGTCAAATAAAGTTAAAAGATGTTGAGAGAAGGTAGAATGTTGAGAGAATGCTAAGAGAAAGGTGAAAAAATGTTCAGAGAATGTTGAAAGTATGTTGAATGTTAAGAAAAGTTGAAAGAATGCTGAAAGAATTTGAAGAAAAAGTAGAACGAATGTTGAAGGAATTTCAAGACAATATAACGACTAGACAAACAAATATCCAAACAACTGGATAATAACATATTAACATAATATCTAAATGACAAAAATGATGACATAATATCCACACAACGGATAAAATAAATATTGACATTGTTCTCACTATGTGTTATGTAGGAACTCTGCATGTGCTTAACGTTTCTTTGGAGTACTACATTTTATTTTTATCTCTTATGTATTGTATGTATTTATGTTCCTTACCATACAAAAACCCTCTGAAGGTTTTTTAGTAGTGTAATAAAGTTATTATTATTATCTTAGTTCCTACAACATACCTATGCATTATGTAGGAACTCTGCATGTGCTTAACGTTTCTTTGGAGTACTACATTGTATTATCTTAGTCCCTACAACATACCTATGCATTATGTAGGAACTCTGCATGTGCTTAACGTTTCTTTGGAGTACTACATTGTATTATCTTAGTCCCTACAACATACCTATGCATTATGTAGGAACTCTGCATGTGCTTAACGTTTCTTTGGAGTACTACATTGTATTATCTTAGTCCCTACAACATACCTGTTAAGTTTCCTTTTACCAATACTCTATCTCCTAGTCGTACCCACACTTGATGCACCGTCTGCAAAGGTAATTTCTGATTTCTGATAGACAATGTTTGTTCAGTCCTATTTAATGAAGGCACCACAATCAACCTGGCTAAGTTTTCTGGAACACTCTTTCTGTAGAAATTCTTACACAGTGAACAGTGGCAGCAAAAATTATCAAAGATTGGAGGACCCTGTAGAAAAAAATTATACATACAAATATGAATACAAGAAAAAGCTGCAAATGCCAGAGACATTCCGACAATGTCATATACAAATGTAGTCATCATTGTTTACACTTATTTTATTTTCATGCCCAAAATTGGGATAAATATTTTCACATTTTCTGTAATTTTCACTGAATTCAGTCTTAATTTTAGACCTAACAGACATTGTTTCTAGTTTCTAATAAAAAAAATTGAAAATTGTCATCAACATTTTACGTTGAAATAAATGACGATAAATGGAACTATTTTGTGGATGATGAGTAAAGTTGACTTCTGTGCTCAATGTGTCTCCGAATTTAATGCAAGATTAGTCAAATATCACTGTGATGCTGTATCAATCTATATCTAGAATGGTTAAGTAATTTGGGATTAGATGAAAATAACACTATATCATATGACTGTGTGAAATACCACAAGCTGATATTATATGATCACCATAGTTACATATTATGGTATCATCTTATGCATGTTTGAACAGTATGCAAAGACAAATCATGCAACAGTGTCATTTCAATCGATGCAATATGAGAATTTCAGACAGATAACAATCACTCCCATGATGCTTAACAATAACTCCTGATAATACCGATTGAATATATTCAAACAAGCGTCCTCTAATAAAAAAACAAACATGGCTGCCACCTGAGTTTGACCGGACTCCACACAAAGAAGTTCACTGATTCGGTTCTAAACATTTTAGATTTCGGCATTCCCATGGTATATCCTTGGAAGTAAAAGATGTATAATAATAAGGTTATTATGATACCCTAAAGTATGCACTCATCCAGTACACTACATTCAGTCGATACTCCAGCTGTACTGTCTTCGTGCATACTTTAAGGTATCCTCATAATGACCTCATTTTATCAATAAGTGAAGTTTGAATGAAATTAATTAATGCACTCAACATGGGATGCCTTGAAAATAATTTTCACCTTACTTTTGAACCAAACATTACATATTTTGACCCCAAAACACCTTCAGTAAACTTTGTTTGTGAAATTGTGTCTATCAGTATACATACATGTATCACCTATATCTATAGTTTGAATGAAATTGGTCAATGCATTGCCAAGAACATTTATATCATTTCCCTCCAGCAGCAGCCACTACTCATTGTGATGGATCATTTACCAAAACTACCATGGAGGTAAAAAGTCCCTTCCTAGCTCCATGCCAGGACTAACAAAATTATATTCCTTCTGTAAGAACACCATTGTTCTAAGAATGCCTGGCAACCATGGTCTTCAAAACAACAATCTTCCTGACGTTGGGCTGACATCCTAACTATTATGCCAAAACATCACAAATATTTTGTGAGTTAGTTGTTGACTTTTCCTTATAGCGTCAACCAACAAAATGGAGCATACAGATTGAGCGACACCTTTATTCTTGACAACTGACTTCCATCGTTGTTGATTCAGTAAGAGTGATCCCTCCAGTCAAATACATGAGCCAAGTGGGATGGGTACATAATTGTTTACAATTGTAACACTCAATACAAACATATAATCTCTTATCAAATGTTATATTGAAGATATATATTAATAATGAGTATACATGTACATTGTATATCTAGAAGAGGAACAAAAAGTATGCAGGTTGTTTTACTTTTGAACTGTTAAGGGGACCTTATTGACGCAAAGATACCAATAACTGTGGTTTGGGAAGAACCATTTGTGAAAGTACAGTTGACAATTCAAAGATACATAAGAAATATCTTGACCATCCCATGACCAATCACACAACATCTTCCATATTTATCCTTTTTTTTGTAAATTGGGAATTATACTGTATTTGTTTAACTAAAGCATATATAAAATTTATTCTACTGTACACTAACCTACACTAAACCCAAAAGTAACAAGTAGACTGAAAAGAATAGTGAATTACATCCCGTCTTCAGCTAGTATGGCTGCTGTGTTAGTGGAAGAGAATACATTAATGATCATTGTAAAAACACTTTTACGCCAGGACACCACTCGATATTACCTGAACTTGAACAAACATTTACAATAGTTGTGAATATCACATAATGATATGTTGCAACCTCATTTCATGTAAAATATTCTGTAAATTTCAAATGACGATTGAAAACAACTTGACAATCATATCTTAGTGGACGAATACCACTATGGTAGTCTGAGAGGCATTTGTCCCATCACATCAATTCTCGTAAAAAAAAAATTCACAGCTTTGTGAAATAGATAGTATTCCTGTAGTTTCACTTTCAAATTTCCACCTGGTAAAAAGGCAGAAAAGAAGCCAGGGAAAACGATTATTTGCCCTATATTTTGCATGTATGTTATTTCCAAAAAATTTTAAATTAAATTATATTCATTCATTGCATGATAGATGTGTTGCCCCATGAAGTTATAATGGATCAATTTACGGCGATGAAGATCAATGTACAGGTGTACATTCAACAAAAACATTTAACCAATGGCATGAAAGAACAAAGTGAAGGATACACATACACAAGGACATACAGCAAGAGTTCAATGTATTCAAACACTATCATTACTTTCACAAGCTCAATAATAGTTTGTATTTATCAATGTTTATAGAAATAAAAGTTCTGTGTTCAACTTGAAATTTATGTGTGCGCTTTAATGCATATCACACAAACAGCTATTCGTAAAAAAATGAGATTTGAGATTAGAAGATTTTAATTTTAGCTAATTAATTTATTGTGTATTGGCATTAGGATTAATTATGGTAAAGGATTAGGTATGTATAGCTTATATAACCCTAGACTTTATGAAAATACATAAATACATTCTTTAATATTAAAGGGCGGCAGTCGTCGTTCTGCGTCCTGTTCGATACGGGACTCATAGCGACGTATATAATGCGTGTAAAATACATTGTTTATTTTATACATGAAATTCGAACACGCGCTGCGCGACGACCACCGCGCTTTACTTTAGGTATTGGCCAAATCTTAAATCTTTTAAGGTACTATTATCCCACTTGCATACAATACCCGCATCTTATAAATCCTTTTTAAAAAACCTGAATTTGTATTTGCTTGTTGACGACTGTGGCTCTTCAATTAATTAATTAATTAAATTATTAACAAAGGAAATATAACAGAACACTTTAAAATATAGAACGTATTTTAAAATACTACTAGCGCAAAGTGGTGAAATTAGTATTACCGTTTACCGATATAATGCAGTCATTGTTATTCACAGCGTCAATGACAGCTTGTGAACGAGTTGATATAAATGTATATAAACAGATCGGACACTGCTCCTCCGACTCGGCTCAAATAAAAAAATCACAGCTCACCAAACTATGCATAGTTTTACAATCAAACTACACTTACTCGAATATGTTTCTTTTTTCTTGCTAAACTGACACTTCGGTCAGTTCTGGCAGATTTGCTGTAATCGAACGAGCTATTTTGGTTTGATCGAGCAAGTATAGTGTTGCTACGCTTATCGGCCATGATTGTCCTCCGGCACAACCTCTTGAACTCTTTTTAAAACGCGAGAGCATCCAACTCTCGCAATATACGATAATATGCAGGTATAGAGAACATATATGAGAATATTTCAAAGGAACGATTCTATAAGAAATAACATATATTGACCTGTTTATTGTTCGCCAGGTTTAGTCGAACACATATTGTGACAAATGAGTCAATGTGTATTTAATCATAAGTTGTTGTTTTAAAAAAAAATGTCTTTTCTGTGTTCGGGTGTCATTCGTATTTTATCGGAAGATTGGAATGTACCATTATGCGTAAATGGACAAGGGTGGTGTTAATGAGCCAGGTCGAGAAATGATGAAATCGCGTTGCTGGGTGTTTGCGAAAGGAATGGCTCACCTGGAAATATAATAATGAATAAATAATCCCAGGAATGTGTGATATATTCATAGTCCTTTGAGTGTGCTTTATCGGGAAAGGTTTTCCAAATAGCATCGCACCTGTGAACAATTTTAACCAATCACGTTCGTTATTTCATCCCTCGTGCAAAAAAGGCAACATGGCGGGTGAGTCACAGGCCTAACCCTATGAAATTTGCCTGATTTTGTATTATTCGGCGCACAAACTCATTCTTTTCTTTCCATTTCCAGACATTCTGCTGGTGGGGAGTGAGGGAGGTTTTGAGTCAGATGATTGTAAGTATACCTGTTCTCTCTGTGTATATAATTTTTCCACAAAAAAAGTTTATCTTGCGAATCGAATCGAACGAGTGTATTGCATGTGAATGAATGTCAGGAAAATTCGATATCCGTAGTCAGATTTTAGTTCCGTTCACACGATTCAGCATAATTGTCAGTCATACGTCTTTATTGATAGCGCTTGATGTAAAATCACTAAGTCTGTAGTTCGGCATGTTTTTTGGCTATTTTATTCGATTTCGGTGTTGTCACTGGCCATTTTTAGGTGGCAAATGTGGGTCAAAAACTGATTTTGAGAACGATCGCTAGCCGTTTCTTGATTTCGTCATGCCGTAACCACCATATAAGTACCATGAGTACGTGTAATGGGCAACCAGTATACCGTAGTTACCGGTTATCTCGTTGAAAATCGACAAATAAAGCGACCTGTGCCATACTGTTTCCGGCCGTCGTTAAAAAGTCGGCACTTGGATTGAACACTTGTTGTCATGCCATACGCAAGCATTATATTATCAACGAATCTAATCCAAACATTTCGTGTAGCGTGACCAGAAATGCAGAATGCGAGTTAGGTCAAAGTCTACATACACGCTTGTATTGTCAGAATTATAATAATCTTCCAATTTCTTGTACTGTTTTATATTCTCTGAAGGTCGCTAGGGTTTGAACTTCGAGTTTGCATCGGTGTCCTTTGATATTCCCAGTGTTATTTCTGTGCAGTTTTATAAATTTTGTCCTTGAAAATATGTACCTTCGCAACACAGAAATTCATACTCTGTACAGCCATATTGCTATTATATGAACAAAGCAATCTTTGCATGGCTTTGTCTTCACACTAATATTTTTTTAACTGCATGTGCAATGTTTTGGCATTTTATTGCATTGTTCAGCATTGATTTATCAAATACTATATTGAATACTGTCATTTCTGGCAGAGTTGTTCTCACTGAGAAAATCCACTGTTCAAAACCACCATAATGTATACAACTT